ATGGGTACCCATTACCACAATTGGCACATCACTGTCACAGTCTTCAGCATCACAGCAACCACGAGTTACCTCTGTACAGCAACACACAGAACAGTGCTATACCACCTAGAAGAATGTTTGACAGGAAGACAATTTGAACCTGGCCTGAGGGCCACAGGCCCGAGGGCCCCTTGGGCTTAAGGCCACCTCCTGGTTCAAACCCTAGGCCCAGGCTGGCTAGCCTCACTCCAGGAACAGAGCAAACCTGCACGTCAAACACATTCCCGGAAAAGCAGTCGACTCCAAAAGCTCGCCACGATTCCTGCGCTCCCACCACCATGCTCCTTCCTTCTGGCAAGGAGAGCTTCCCAAAAGCCTGGGAGGAGCCAGCCAAACCAGGAACAACATGGCCGCTTCTTTCCATGAGGCTAGCCTCACTCCAGATTCACCCTAGAGAGGGTTAAACCAGGCTACTCCTTGGAGGCAAGGATTCTGAGGCTCCGTCTGGCATACTTTAGACATGTTGTAAGAAGGGACAGGTCCTTGGAGAAGGACATCATGCTTGGGAGGGTGGAGGGACAGAGCAGGAGGGGAAGGCCCTCTATGAGGTGGATTGATTCAGTGGTTGGGGTAATCGGGATGGGAGTGTCAGAGACAGTGTGATTGGCACAGTATAGAGCAGGGTTTAGGGCTGTTGTACATAGGGTCGCTATGAGTCGCAAGCAACTCGATGGCACATAACAACAACAGCAACCAGTTCTTTTTGGCACAGTAGTTTTGTGTATTCCTTCCATCTTCTGATTCTTCAAGATTTTCCCCATAGCACCTCTAAGTATTCCAACTCAAGGCTTGAATTTGATTTCCAGTTCTTTCAGTTTGAGAAATACCAAGTGAATTCTTCCCATGTTACTCTCCAATTCTAGGTCTCTGCCTATTGTTGTTTTTTTCGAGTCTGAACCGACCCATAGCTGACTCTCCAGTGGGTTTTCAGGGGCAGTTAATCACATGGGAGGAGATTGTCCATCTTCCTCCAGTGAAGCAGCTGGTGGATTTGGTGCCTTTGGAATTGCAGTGCAGTTTCTTGCCACTATGCCACCAGTGCTCTCTGGACTACAATCTCAAAGGCTAGAATCACTAGCTAATTCAAGGGAGAAGGATGGGCAGTCTCCTCTTTACTGCCTCTGCAAACCCACTGGAGGGTCAGCTGAGTTGGCTGTGACTCCAGGACATGCAATAACAACACAACACATGCACTTTAAAGTTGAACAGTGAATAAAGAGCCTGAAGAAGAACATGGTACTGGTGGTTGTTGTTAAGTGCCTTGGAGTCTTAGGCGACTCATAGCGACCCTATGAATGAAAGACCTGGATACTTGTATAACTTCCGTCCTTTCTTCAAGTTCATAGGGTTTCCAGAGGCAAGCTATTTTGGAAGTGGATGCCACTCCTGCTTCTAAGCTTGTTTTAATTGGGGAGCTCCACCAAACACTGTCCACCATGAGAAACCATTCTCACATTTGGCACATCAGTGTCACAGTGTTCAGCTTCACAGCAACCACGAGTTAACTCTGTACAGCAAGTGGACAGATCTATATGACCTAGAAGAATGTTTCACCAAAAACAATTAAAGACAGGCCTGAGGGTTATGGATTAGAGTCACCCCCCTTTGGCTTGGTAGCATCACTTTCTGGTACTGATTGTTGTTTGTTGTTGTTGTTATGTGCCGTCAAGTAGCTTGTGACTCATAGCGACCCTATGTACAAACAGCGCTAAACTCTGCTCTGTTCTGTGCCAATCGCACTCTCTCTGACACTCCCATCCCGATTATCCCAGTCACTGAATCAATCCACCTCATAGAGGGCCTTCCCTTCCTGCGCCGTCCC